CTATGTATCTTCAGGCGATTGAGTGCTCGGACAAACAGATGGCTTCATCGTGCAACGATCGTATTTCAGAGACATTCAAAACCTTAAGGAACCAGCAACAAAAAAATTAAAACTGATGTATTTTTTTAGTGATATGGAGAATTTGTGAATGTCTTCTCATAGGTTGCTTTGGACTAGCTTTGGCCTTCTTAATTTTGGTTGTATTGCTCATTTTTTTCCCTTGTGCAGTATAAAATTTACTGAAGAAGATTAGTGACAAGCACCTCACAAGATGGTAGGAGTCGAACTATACCAGGAAGACCTGCAGCTTGTCTATGATGTACCAAAAAATCCCAAAACCTCCGACGAATATTTTTGGGCCAGGATCCCTATTAAAACAGTGGTAAACATACAATATCATGGCTTAAACGAAGTGAAAGTAAGCATCACGAGCCTGCATTCCAAACTTTTACCTGAAATATGTGTTTATACTGGTAGTGAGTTTGGGGGCTAGCAATGAACGGGAGAGCAAAGTAAGGCATAAAGTAGGGGTCTTCCCGTAGGTTGGCACATTCCGTCTCCAGGAACTCTAATAGCGAGTGCATGCATGGGTGAGCTGGTGGTCTTCGCCGAGAGGACTCAGCAGACTGTGATGATGATCGTCTAACGGAGACCACTGGTTCCTTCTAAAGGAAAACATGATGTTTAAAAAAATCCATTTCAAGGTGCTCCCACAGCAAACGTTCCCTACGGTGACACGAGTTGTCGGGTCATACGATGGAATTTTGGGCGTCGAACGTCCCGTGATGCCTGGGGTGCTCAAGGTGAGCTCACGATGAGCTCACTTAAAAAACGTTCCCAGAACGTTTCCACCACCCCCCTCACCCTATTTTGAGCGGCTTAGAAGGCGGTCTAGAAGGTGTGGTCCGTGAGTTCACGGTGAGCTCACCGTGAGCTCTCCAATCGCACCCCTGAGCCAGCAGCAGAGCCTCCTTCACTGGCGCTCAGGGCGGGCCGCCGGCTCCGCGCAGCTGCTTGGCGGGCTGGCCTACCCATCGCGTTGCAGGCGCTATCGTTGTTAGTCCACCCTAAGCCGTCAGAAACGGGGTGGCCCATGGCGCCGTACTTTATTCTGGTTATACTTGTCGTACTGTACCGGATGCAGGCGTGCGGACGGGTTGCACACTGCTCACACGGGACCGTAAGGTGACTCAGCGATAGCTACCGATGGGGAAGCCCGCACGCGCACGCATGCCTGCTGCTTCCTATACAGTATGAGCAAAAGAAAAAAAACGGCGCCGATAGACCACCCTGTATACTTGTTCCGGAAATGCCCACATCAGTGTGAACGCAATTGGAGAACGTTTTACATTGGAGGGCACAGAAAAAAAAAAAAGAAAAGAATTACACTTGGTCACCACCTACTCGGGGGCGTCACCTTAGGGAACGTTCACTGCAGGCACCTTTAGAACACCCGAAGTAAATCTAAATCCCAAATGCTTAAATCAGCTTACAGAGCTATCACAAGTGCAAACTTTCTGGCCGCAACATTTGAAAATTTCTGTTCGTTCAAGAGTTTCTGAGTTAGTGCTTGTATGGGAATGGCTGCCTTGAATTCTAGGCACAAGCATTCCACCAGATCTAGCTTCACAATTTTGATATAACTCAGGTAGTGCATGAACCAGTGGTTTCATCCAAGGATTCCCTTGATCATTGCAATCTTTTAAAATAGATAACGCTGCAAAGTATACAAGAAGGTCTGCTATTATCTTTTTTCCCTCGTAAGAACTTCTTGCTTGCAGTGGAATACTGGAATTCAATATCTGGAAGAAAAAATAACATATATATAAATATACTTTGTACCTGACTTGTACTTGTCAGTATTGATCGGTATTGATATTAAAATTTATTAGAGATGTCGTCCCAGCTTGGTTAGCAAAATAAGAGTTGATCTCGATTTACAAAATGTGTCTCATTCAAGCCAAGTCTACTTTTGGCTAGGACAACTGAAAGCTGCATTTAAAATTCAATCACCTTTAAAAAGCCTGCCTCATCCTCTTCATCAAAACGTTGAAGCAAATTACTTATGTCACATCTTCGTACACCACAGATTTCTTCAGGGATTGGGTAGTCACAAATTCTACATTCTTCTTTTAAGTTTGAAGCAGTATTCTCTAATCCCATATGCAGGAGATACTGGAAGAGCAGACAGAAAGGAAAAGGGGACGGGGGAGAGGGAGAGAATCAGTCTGCATTGTAAATTATCAATAAAAGGAAAAGAAGTCAATATTGACAATGTACCTCATAGATGAGCTGCATATAAAAGCTGTCACTACAAGAACGAGGCATCCCAAAACCCTACTTCTCACGATTCCTTTAATGGGCAGTAAGACTACATGTAAAATACACAATTTCTTTTTTCATTGAAAACAGATCCCGATCGAGCACTGCTAAATTTTCATTTTGACTTTCGAGAACAAACAGCAAGAATTCGAAAATGGAACATCCCGACAGTGATGGAGCTTCTACATATTTGATTGAGACGTGATCAAACTTGGATCAAACGACTCCAGGGAAGGGCAAATTTTGAACCAACAACAGAGCTCGTCGGCCCCATGGGGTTTCCGTTTCCGCACGCGCCTTCCGCAACTATCCATCCGCCCATACTGTTTTCTTATTCCACAATTCTTCTTGTCTACAGTTGAGTAGCAGTAGTAGTAATCATGGCGTCAGAAGGCGAGAGCAAGCCGAAATCTTCCAAAGGAAAAACATTGACACAGGAAGAAATTTACAATGGTTTTCAGGTGCTACGCAATGAACAGCGGGTTCTTGTCACCAAGTTATCGGAGCTAGAGCTCGAACTTAGTGAACACAAGTAAGGATGCGTTTCCACCCGTCTCACCATGCTCCCACACGTTCGTTCATAGATGTCTTCAAAACTTTCCCGTCCCGCGACACCAATCGGCTTGAAGTTTGAACTGTTGATTTCTTCAGTATCCTTCATTTTCGACGCAGTGGTTTCCCTTTTATTTATTTTGGCACATGATGTAAAACGCTTTGAGTTGTTGTCCTAACCTAGCCCTTCTATTAAGAATTAATTGTCTTCATTGTTCTTGTAGGAATCAATCAGGTGTTTTCACATTAGCATTTTTGTTTTCAGAATTGTTGTCGATACCATGAAAGACTTGGACGGTGACCGTAAATGTTTTCAACTGATTGGAGGTGTACTGTGTGAACGAACAGTGAAAGATGTTCTACCTCAGCTTCAAATGAAGAAGGACTCTGTGAGTTTGTGTACAGTCAATTCGTTTCTTTCACATTATGATTTCTCTGTAATTAATTTTTTATTCACTCATTTCAGCTTACCAAAATAATGGGAGACTACAATGAACAAATAACTAAGAAAGGAAAAGAGATCAACGAATACAAAGAAAAACACAACATCAGAATTCGTGGTCAAGATGATATTCCATCAGAAAGTGACAGCAAAGACAAGGGAGAAAGTTCAAGTCAATCCAAAAATGTTATGGTGGAAGCTATGTGATGAGAAATGGTGAATGGAAGAGCCTGTTACAAGTGCTGTTGTGTAGAATCACAGAACATTCTTCAGTGGAAGGACTTTTGTCTCCGCCCTCCTCCATCATGGAACATTTGTGATAATGCATCAGCAAGTTTAATCTGCCATGTGACTGAACAATTAGAACTTCGGTTCTTTCCTGCATTTTATTTATTTATATTTTTTTTTGTGCGTGTGTTTCTCTTTCTTGCTTTACCATCCAAGTAATTTGCTGAGATCATGGATAACATTGAAGATTGCTTTACTTTGTACTCAGGTTGTGGAATAGAAATCTAATCTAATTGTATTTTTAATATGTGATGGACATTTTTGTTGTTTCAAATTGAAAAATTGTTGCATACCAGATTGGGTTTTGTTGTTGATTGCGTTAAAGTTTCAAGGTTCTGATGTGCTTTTACTTATTCATGGATTAATTTTATTAAACTTGTGCACGATCTCCTTTTAAATTTTCTTTATCTGGTTGTATTAATGTAGTTATGGTAGTTACATCTGAGCTCAGTATGATCAGTAGAATCAAAGTGATAGTCTTATCATAAGTAACAAAACAGATGATTTTATTGCTAGAAGATAACTACTTCTTAGTTTACAAACGCAGTACCATTCATTAAATTTTTTGAAAGCAAGCGCGTAAAATGTAAATTGATTAAAAAAAGACATTAACATAAAATAACAGGAAAGCACTAGCCAAAATAACCAATTGTGATGGATTAACATAACAATTTATCAGTCATAATATTATATGCAAAATACATAAACAACTTGCCTCATACTACATATTTTTTCTACTATATGATAACTTGGTAACAGAACTGTAAAACTCGTACCCTATAATTAAAATGTTAGTAGCTAATGAATGTATTATAAATGAGTTCAGATGGTCTGGTGAGAATTGAATTACCTTCAACAAGACCAAGTTCAAGGTCTACTATGCATGGGCAGAAGAGAATACAAATGCAGTACCTTTTGGCCTCCTGGCAACCTTCACAAAATTGTCGAAAATTGTACATTACTAATTACCTCTGTATAGACAATAAAATCACTGTTATCAACTTTGACTTTACTCAACATCAGATCTAAATTAGAAGCCTGATTCACTCACTGAACTGTTTTGCCAATAACAGATGATTAATGATGTATTGGTTACAATTATGTAATTTCAAAATCTTCACTTTATTAAGTGAATTGTGCGCTGGTTTTTCATTCAAGGCCTTCATTGTTAACTGCTTTCTCATTCTGCCGGACAAATAGTAATTCTCATCCAAGACCTTTAATATCACAAATTAGTACAGAAAGCAAGCAGCAGATATCTGAAATTGTTGTGCGCTTCTCCCCTATCAACTCTACTCCTCTGCACTGTCAGCTAAATGCTCCAAATTCAATGCTGACATTAATTTTGATGAGTGATGCATGAATGCAAACATGTTGATTTAATGTCAAATGACAAATACTGCTGAATTAGCACGTTCATTGCGGCGGGACCACAATGTGAGCACACTTTGTGAGTTTTACCAACCCCTTTGTAGCGGCACTGCACTCGGCGCTGGCCGTCTGATGTATGCTCCATCCTCCATTAGGTATCTCTTTAAAGCTTAGACTTCCTCATCATATATACTGATATTACGTAATTCCGACGTTTTGCACTCTATTCCACCACAAACAACTACTAATGGCAGTGTGTACTTAGAAGGACCATGACAGAGAACCATATGGCTGTCCCTCTTAGATATACAGGGTGGGTGATCCGCGCCGTGGGTTTTTTCTGCTTATACTGTACAGGATTCATGCGTGCGGATGGGTTGCATACTCGCACGGGGCCGTAAGGACCCATGGCGAGCGACGATGGTCAAGCCCGCCCGCACGCATGAATCCAGTACAGTATAAGCAGGAAAAAACCACGGCGCGGATCACCCACACTGTATCACTTTGACCCAAGAGTAGAACATGAAATAGATAGTTTTTTCACTCTAGTGGTGGGGATGAAGAAAGCGAGCAGGAAGAAAAGAATCAACGTCCTATGCATCGAAAATAGTAAATCGAAACTCCTATCATTCTCCCACCTCCCCCAGCCTTTCACGAGTACTTGGGTACTCTGGACTCCTGGTGACATCGTACACACATCGGCACCACCACAAGGATGTATTAGCAACTGATAGCACCGTCGTCGTTTCGACTCGTCGTGGACGATCACTACACGGCGGGAGCGTCGCGTCGCTCACAGCGCCAGGGTGCCGCTGCTGGCGTGGTGGTGGTGGCGGTCCGCTCCATGACGACTCTCTCGCTCTGCCGCGTGCCGGGCTTCCCTCGCCGCCTCGCGAGCCTCCCGCGCCTCGCGCGCATCCCTCCCCGCGCGGCGGAGGGAGCGCCTGCTCTGACCCGAGGTCACCGACGACGCGCCGCCCCCCAGGGTGGAGGCCCCGGTCGACGAGGGGTGCAGATTCAGTGGCGGCAGATTTGGGTTGGCGATGCGGGTCGGGGACGACACCTTGGGCCTTAAAACGCCGACGTGCAGGCCGCGTCGGCTGCCGCCTACGGTGTGGTAGTAGCCGAGCGCGCCGAGGGCCGACGAGTAGACACCACCACCGCCGTCGTGGTGGTCGCCGCCGAGGAGTTGGTCGTCCGAGTCCACGAAGCCTGAGTTGTCGAAGCTGCTTCCGTCGTCAGCGACCATACCTGCACCGAAGCTCGCATGGTGGCTCAGCTGCGAAGGGGTACAGAACAAGGTTAGTTGGAACAGTAAGTAATCTTATCGGCTTAGCTATCGGTGCTGTTGTCGCTCTTCTCCTTCGCTCAGTATGAACTACCCCCTCCCCCTCCTGTAAAAGCAAGTTCCGGACCCTTCAATAAGTACTAACCGTGGCCATCTTGTTGACGTGCCCATGCTGGCGGGGGTGCTTGTGGCGGCCGTGGGTCCCGTGGGTCTGGAGAGGCGGCGGGGGTGTGAAGGCGGCCAGGCGTACAGGAGGCGGGGGCGGGGGCTCGAGCGGAGGCGGTCCAGCGGTCAGCGGCATGGCGTACTCGGGTTCGGCGGCGATGACGGGCGGGGCAGGTGACGGGGGCGGCGAGGGGGCCGTCAGGTGGCGCTGGGTCAGCTGCAGGTGCGGGGGGACGGTGATGGCCGGGGGCGGCAGCAGCGGCG